TTATTACGAATTTGTTTTAATTATATTATGAAATGTTATAATTGCCTAATTTTTCAAGATATCTTTTTTTTTGTCATTTACATTTTCATCTAACTTATCAACTAGTTTTTGTTAAACATGATTTGTTCATCAATTAACTTATCAGCTATCAACTAGCTTATCGGTTAGTACATAGCCTATATATGCATGGTTCATTCAACTTCGATATAGAAAATAAAAATGCTAGATTTCTTTTTTCATAACCAGGTTAGTTTGTATGCATTGATTAAGCTTCTGAGATCTTCAATTAACAAATTGCTGCCATCCAAACTCTATACTGACTTTAAAAGGACTTAAACTGATGATTTTATTAAAAGCAAATCCAAGATCTTACTAGTTGAGTTGTCCCTCAAAAGTTATAATGCAACTCTTGTTATTGTCTAAGAACAAGACAGGGTCGAGGTTGTTTGTGCAAATGTCGATTTTTGTAGATTTTATTCAAATTTATTTGGCACCCTCAGTTTTATGACTAGAAACGAGCTTGCACTTAACTTGTTAGTGTGACTACAAGAGTATTCATAGCATATAATGAGGAGTTTTCGACTCCTGAAATTAGGAATTATGCCAAAAACACAACACAAAAATAAGTTTTAGGTGAATACTCTCGATGATCACTTGGGCTATTCGAGAAAGTTCAACTGACCTCGATTAATTATGAATCCTTAATTAATTTAAATAAGTAACGATTTTTTTTTGGAAATTAGGTATATAGAATTAGACGAACTCCACGTAAAACCAACAGTGGAAATACGAAAAATGTGTTAGAGGTTGTTTGCTTACCTCTTAATAGTTCCATTAAGAAAGTGAATCTTGTTTGGCAAAAAAAAAGTCTGTCTCTTAATGGTTCTAAAACTCTCTGAATGATTTTGAATCATGAGTCTTTCTTTACCATTCAGCGCCATAATTTCATTTTAAACAATTACCAAACAATTATATTTTATTTTGCACTATATATGAGAGCCTCTTAATCATTCCGACCACTTAATTCAGGGCCGTCCATTGGGCTGTTAAATATGCCCTTTAGAACAGGGCCCCCAATGTTTTGGGGCCCAAATTTTATAGCCCGTCTATTTATATAACT